TTTAGGTTGGATAAATACATGAGTGAGAGGGGTTGGATTTATGTGGGACTTGCACGTGAGTAAATAGAATTATCAAAGCTCATTGCTTGGGTAGCGTTTATTCTGTTAGTGGATTGGATTTGTGAAGGACATGCCAAGTATAGGTCAACAGACCTATGGCAGTGCTCCTCCTTTCTTATGTTCTTAAGTTGATGAGTGGAACAGTCTGCCTAGTATGGTTATAAGAACATATGAACATATAAAAGGAGGAACACTAGTAGTACTAGGCAGGTCCTTCACAATCCATCCCACTAGCAGAATAGTGCCCACCCCAATTTTCAATGCTACCCAAGCAATAAGAATATAAGAAAGGAGAAACACTACAGTAGGCCTGTTGGCCCGTACTAGGCAGGTCCTTCACAAATCCAACCCACTAACAGAATAAATGCTACCCAAGCAATAAGCTTTGATAATTCTATTTACTTGTAGGTAGTAGGTTGGTGGACAGCAACCACTCAGGGAGGTACTACCGTTCTGCCAAGTGAGCGTAAAATGAAAGCCTGTAATTGTTTTACATGATGGTAGGATTGCTGGTGTCCTTTTTTCTGTCTCATAAACATGCAAGATTTCAGGTACGTCTTGCTACTTCTACTTACACTTAGGTCACACTACACATACATGTACAAGAATATACAGGTACTTACAACGGAGTTTGGTTCCGAGAAACCGGTCGTAAGTTGAAATGAATGTAAGTCGAACCTTACTACTCAATATCAACATTACATTTTTGTAATGACTTTATTTTATTGTTTTATTTTGGAATTTCATTGTTTACTTTACTTTTTATGCTGTTAGTACTGTATTTTATGCTGTAAGGTTTAGGATAAACACTGTGTACAACACAAACAGTTGTTTATTTCCCAAATATTTGGCAAAGAAAACAAGGTTGTAAGTCGAATGGTTGTATGTCGAGCAGGTAGTAAGTCGGATGGTAGGTGTATATACACACAACCCTCTGGGTTTTCTTCTATTTTCTTTCTAGTTCTTGTTCTTCTTTATTTCCTCTTACCTCCATGGGGAAGTGGAACAGAATTCTTCCTCCATAAGCCATGTGTGTTGTAAGAGGCGAATAAAATGCCGGGAGCAAGGGGCTAGTAACCCCTTCTCCCATATAAATTACTAAATTTAAAAAGAGAAACTTTCGTTTTTCTTTTTGGGCCACCCTGCCTTGGTGGGATACGGCCAATTTGTTGAAAAAAAAGGAATTCTATTTACTTGTAGGTAGTAGGTTGGTAGACAGCAACCACCCAGGGAGGTACTACCGTCCCGCCAAGTGAGTGTAAAACGAAAGCCTGTAATTGTTTTACATGATGGTAGGATTGCTGGTGTCCTTTTTTTCTGTCTTATAAACATGCAAGATTTCAGGTACATCTTGCTACTTCTACTTACACTTAGCTCACATTACACATACACCTACCATCTGACTTACGACCGAGTTCGGTTCCGAGAAACCGGTCGTAAGTCGAAATGGTCGTAAGTTGAACTTTACTACTGAATATCAACAAAACATTTTTGTAATGACTTTATTTTATTGTCTTATTTTGGTATTTCATGTTTTACTTTACTTTTTATGTTGTTAATACTGTATTTTATACTGTAAGGTTTAGGATAAACACTGTGTACAACACAAATAGTTGTTTATTTCCCAGAAATTTGGCATAAAAAACACGGTCGTAAGTCGAGTGGTCGTAAGACGAGCAGGTCATAAGTCGGATGGTAGGTGTACATGTACAAGCATATATACACACACCCCTCTGGGTTTTCTTCTATTTTCTTTCTAGTTCTTGTTCTTGTTTATTTCCTCTTACCTCCATGGGGAAGTGGAACAGAATTCTTCCTCCGTAAGCCATGCGTGTTGTAAGAGGCGACTAAAAGATGGGAAGCAAGGGGCTAGTAGCTCCTTCTCCTGTATAAATTACTAAATTTAAAAAGAGAAACTTTCGTTTTTTCTTTTTGGGCCACCCTGCCTTGGTGGGATACGGCCAGTTTGTTGTTGAAAGAAGTAGGTTGGTAGACAGCAACCGCCCAGGGAGGTACTACCGTCCTGCCAAGTGAGTGTAAAACAGAAACCTGTAATTGTTTTACATGATGGCAGGATTGCTGGTGTCTTTTTTCTGTCTCATAAACATGCAAGATTTCAGGTACGTCTTGCTACTTCTACTTACACTTAGGTCACACTACACATACATGTACAAGCATATATATACACACCCCTTTGGGCTTTTTGCTATTTTCTTTCTAGTTCTTGTTCTTGTTTATTTCCTCTTATCTTCATGGGGAAGTGGAACAGAATTCTTTCTCCGTAAGCTATGCATGTCGTAAGAGGCGACTAAAATGCCAGGAGCAAGGGGCTAGTAACCCCTCTCCTGCATAAATTACTAAATTTAAAAAGAGAAACTTTTGTTTTTCTTTTTGGGCCACCCTGCCTCGGTGGGATACGGCCAATTTGTTGAAAAAAAAAAAATTCTATTTACTCACGTCCAAGTTCCACTCAAATCCAACCCCTCTCACTCACGTATTTTTTTTTTTTTTTTTTCAACAAGTCGGCCGTCTCCCACCGAGGCAGGGTGACCCAAAAAAGAAAGAAAATCCCCAAAAAGAAAACACTTTCATCATCACTCAACACTTTCACCACACCCGCACACCATCACTGTTTTTGCAGAGGTGCCCAGAACACAACAGTCCAGAAGCATACACATACAAAGACACACAACACATCCCTCCAAACTGCCAATATCCCAAACCCCTCCTTTAAAGTGCAGGCATTGTACTTCCCATTTCCAGGACTCAAGTCCGACTATATGAAAATAACCGGTTTCCCTGAATCCCTTCACTAAATATTACCCTGCTCACACTCCAACAGATCGTCAGGTCCCAAGTACCATTCGTCTCCATTCACTCCTATCTAACATGCTCACGCACGCTTGCTGGAAGTCCAAGCCCCTTCCCCAAAAAAACCTCCTTTACCCCCTCTCTCCAACCCTTTCGAGGAGCCCCTACCCGCCTTCCTTCCCCTATAGATTTTTATGTTTTCCATGTCATTCTACTTTGATCCATTCTCTCTAAATGACCAAACCACCTCAACAACCCTCTTCTCCCCTCTGACTAATACTTTTATTAACTCCACACCTTCTCCTATTTCCACACTCCGAATTTTCTGCATTAATATTTACACCACACATTGCCCTTAAACAGGACATCTCCACTGCCTCCAACCGTCTCCTCGCTGCTGCATTTACCACCAAGCTTCACACCCATATAAGAGTGTTGGTACTACTATACTTTCATACATTCCCTTCTTTGCCTCCATAGATAACGTTTTTTGACTCCACATATACCTCAACGCACCACTCACCTTTTTTTCCCCTCATCAATTCTATGATTAAACCCTCATCCTTCATAAATCCATCCGCCGACACGTCAACTCCCAAGTATCTGAAAACATTCACTTCTTCCATACCCCTCCCCCCCAATTTGATATCCAATTTTTCTTTATCTAAATCATTTGACACCCTCATCACCTTACTCTTTTCTATGTTCACTTTCAACTTTCTACCTTTACACACATTCCCAAACTCATCCACTAACCTTTGCAATTTTTCTTTAGAATCTCCCATAAGCACAGTATCATCAGCAAAAAGTAACTGTGTCAATTCCCATTTTGAATTTGATTCCCATAATTTAATCCCACCCTCTCCCAAACACCCTAGCATTTACTTCCTTAACAACCCCATCTATAAATATATTAAACAACCATGGTGACATCACACATCCCCGTCTAAGACCTACTTTTACCGGGAAATAGTCTCCCTCTCTTCTACCCACCCTAACCTGAGCCTCACTATCTTCATAAAAACTCTTTACAGCATTTAATAACTTACCACCTATTCCATTTAACTTGCAACATCTGCCACATTGCTCCTCTATCCACTCTATCATATGCCTTTTCTAAATCCATAAATGCAATAAAAACTTCCTACCTTTATCTAAATACTGTTCACATATATGCTTCAATGTAAACACTTGATCTACACATCCCCTACCCACTCTGAAACCTCCCTTTCTCATCCGCAATCTACATTCTGTCTTACCTCTAATTCTTTCAATTATAACCCTACCGTACACTTTTCCTGGTATACTCAGTAAGCTTATTCCTCTATAATTTTTACAGTCTCTTTTGTCCCCTTTCCCTTTATTAAGGGACTATACATGCTCTCCGCCAATCCCTAGGTACCTTTCCCCTCTTTCATACATTTATTGAACAAAAGTACCAACCACTCCAACACTATATCCCCCCTGCTTTTAACATTTCTGTCATGATCCATCAGTACCAGCTGCTTTACCCCCTTTCATTTTACGTAATGCCTCACGTACCTCCCCCACACTTACATTTGCTCTTCTTCACTCCTAAAGATGGTATACTCCCTGACCAGTGCATGAAATTACTGCCTCTGTTTCTTCCTTAACATTTAAAAGTTCCTCAAAATATTCTCGCCATCTACCTAATACCTCCATCTCCCCATCTACTAACTCCCCTACTCTGTTTTTTAACTGACAAATCCATATTTTCCCTTGGCTTTCTTAACTTGTTTAACTCACTCCAAAATTTTTTCTTATTTTCATTAAAATTTCTTGACAGTGCCTCTCCCACTCTATCATCTGCTCTCCTTTTGCACTCTCTCACCACTCTCTTTACCTTTCTTTTACTCTCCATATATTCTGCTCTTCTTATAACACTTCTGCTTTGTAAAAACCTCTCATAAGCTACCTTTTTCTCTTTTATCACACCCTTTACTTCATCATTCCACCAATCACTCCTCTTTTCCTCCTGCACCCACCCTCCTATAACACAAACTTCTGCCCCACATTCTAATACTGCATTTTTAAAACTATTCCAACCCTCTTCAACCCCCCCATTACTCATCTTTGCACTATCCCACCTTTCTGCCAATAGTCGCTTATATCTCGCCCGAACTTTCTCCTCCCTTAGTTTATACACTTTCACCTCCCTCTTACTTGTTGTTGCCACCTTCCTCTTTTCCCATCTACCTCTTACTCTAACTGTAGCTACAACTAAATAATGATCCGATATATCAGTTGCCCCTCTATAAACATGTACATCCTGGAGCCTACCCATCAACCTTTTATCCACCAATACATAATCTAATAAACTACTTTCATTACGTGCTACATCATACCTTGTATATTTATTTATCCTCTTTTTCATAAAATATGTATTACTTATTACCAAATTTCTTTCTACACATAGCTCAATTAAAGGCTCCCTATTTACATTTACCCCTGGCACCCCAAATTTACCTACTACTCCCTCCATAACATTTTTACCCACTTTAGCATTGAAATCCCCAACCACCATTACTCTCACACTTGATTCAAAACTCCCCACGCATTCACTCAACATTTCCCAAAATCTCTCTCTCTCCTCTACACTTCTCTCTTCTCCAGGTGCATACACGCTTATTATAACCCACTTTTCACATCCAATCTTTATTTTACTCCACATAATCCTTGAATTAATACATTTATAGTCCCTCACGTATTTATCCAACCTAAATTTGAAACTCCCCAAAATTTTAGCTTCAATTGGACCTTGGGTTGCTTTAAAAAGAGATTGGACAAATATATTAGTGGGAGGAGCATGTATGTATATACAATACATATTTTACGATGTTTTCATGTGTTTTACGATTGTTCATGGTTCAATAGGTTAAGGAAGTAGTATTGTGTTAAATTTCCTTACAATATATTGGGGCACCAAACATTCGTGATTTTTCAACATTTGCGAGGCTCTTGATCCCCTAACCCTCGAGAATGTTGAGGGAGACCTGTATATCAAACTGCACATTCTTTGAAACTTTTCATATTATGATTATGATGTACTAATTTTATAATGCATCCATGCAGTTTACTAAGTAGAACATAAAAAATACCTGTATCGGTCTCGTCCTATTTGTTCAGGAGATAATCGACGTGCACGCTCTTCTACACGTGGATCTCGACCTCTTGATGACGATCCTACATGCTGAACAATGTTTGTGTCACGTCCATGGCTCAGAGATCGTTCTGGTATTCCTATACGATCACTCCTGTAATCTAAACGATCTCTTGGGGAACCAGATCGTTTCCTGCCTGCAATGATTTGCAAGAAATAATTAAATTGCATTTTATCATTTTTCAGTCACATTCCACTGCATTTCAATATGTATACTGTACTTTACAATGAAAGTTATTACTGTATAGTCTGGATAATGACATTATGTTGACCTTTGCACTATTTTAATTATTATCTTCATATCTGCACTTTAACCCTTTCAGGGTTTCGGATGTACTGGTGCGGCTAACGCACCAGGGTTTTTGACGTACTAGTATGCCTAAATTCTAGCGCCCTCAAATCTAGTGAGAGAAAACTGGTAGGCCTACATATGAAAGAATGGGTCTATGTGGTCAGTGTGTGCAGTATAAAAAAAATCCTGCAGCACACAGTGCACAATGAGAAAAAAAAAAACTTTGACCTTGTTTTTGGATTAAAACAGCAACTTTGCACTGTATTTTCGTATGGTATTTATTGTTGTATTCTAGTTTTCCTGGTCTCATTTTATAGAATGGAAGACATACTACAGAAATTGAGATGATTTTGACTGGTTTTACAATCAAAAGTACCTAGAAATTGAGCTCAAAGTAGCCGAAATGTTTGATTTTTACCAAAGTTCAAAAGTAAATAAATCATGCTAAGCGTCCAATACACGTCAACTGGTGAGTCTAATATTCTTTCTCTCACAAGTGCGCCAATATTATTTATACCATTTCTACACTAATGCAGTAGTCTGCATAACAGTAAATCTTCTATTTTATGTAAGAATAAAAATTCAAAGTGGAAAGTAAAAGAATGTAAGAGGAGCGTGGGGACGTGACTAATGAACAGAGGAAATGATATTTTAGTGCCAGGAATGTCTTTCTTGTTTATTCTGGACCCTATTTGGAAATTGGCATCTTTTGAAATTTGTGTGAAATTGGCAAAATTGCTAAATTCTGACCACTGTATTGGAAAGTTGAAATTGGTAAATGGGTGGTTTCTTGTACTCATTCGATAGAAAAAATGGAGTTCTAGCGAAATAGTTATGATTTTTGTTGACTAGTACACTGGAATTGGCCGAAAATAGGGCTCAAAGTGGGCAAAATCGCCATTGCGTAAACATCGTTGAGACCGCTAACTTCGCGAGAGCATAATTCCCTAAGTTTTCCATCAAATTTCAAACTTTTGGTGTCATTATGACCGGGAAAAGATTCTCTATCTTTTCATAAGAAAAATAATTTTTGTTTTTTTTTCAAAATTTGGGTGACCCTGATATCAAGTCTGGGAGAGGGCCTGGAGACCCTGAAAGGGTTAAAGGAGGGGTTTGGGATATTGGCAGTTTAGAAGAACATCCAAACTGTCATATCTGAGCACCTCTGCAAAGACAGTGATTATGTATGAGTGATGGTGAAAGTGTTGAATGATGAAAGTTTTTTCTTTCTTGTTCGGTTTGTCTTTCTTTTCGAGCCACCCTGCCTCGGTGGGAAATGATCGACGTGTTAAAAAAAAAAATGCGTAATTTTTTTTTGTTCAGGGATTTGATCCCTGGACCTCAGTGATGAGTCACTCCTCTCACCACTGGGCAACAGCTGTTGCCCACTGTTCTTCTCACTGTTGCCCAGTGGAAAGTACAGTACGCACACTCTAAAGGAGGGGTTTGGGATGTTTGCTGTTTAGAGTGACATCTAAAGTGTTGTATCTGTGTCACTTTGGCAAGACAGTGATAGTCAGTGTGTTAAAAAAAAAAATTACTGTACTGGGAAAATATTGGAGGGAGAGGGTCTGAATCTCCACCACACAATTATAAACATGAATAAAAGCATATCCACTTACTCTTACTCCTCTTTGACCTGCCAGGAGAGAGCTTGTGTGATTTCCGGGAAGGAGACGGCGTACGCTTGCGTCCCGGGGATAGAAGCTTTTTAGACATTGAGCTTTTTCTTCGAGTTGGGGAATGGCTACTTTTGTGACCACGCATCTTTTCATGGTCCTTCTTACTAGGGTGACTCTTCTTGCTATTCTTGCTGTTGCTATGTTTCCTTCTGTGAACAAATACTTCAAACTATTATCACAAAACAATCATGGAAAGACAATTACATTTAATGCTGTCCAAATTATATAAAAATATATGATTTAATGAGTAAGTGGTTTTTCAACAGTCCATTGCTGTTTACTTGAATACCCCACTAGGAACTTTCTCTCTCCTATTGGGCAAATGAACATGTGCAGCTAATAAGACATTTATTGTGGCTAAGTTTCACTCACAAGCACCTTTATCAGCCAATACAAAAACTTGCCCCCAACAGTCATGCACAGGTACTTCACTTTCTATCAGCAGTCTTGTAGAGAAAATGCACTTCAACTTCCAACAGTGGTCTTGTAGAGGTACCTAACTTTTCTACAACAGTTTTCAGCTAGACCCCATTCATGGTACATTTATAACTAGGTCCTGTTCCCCATAAGTCCAGTCAGACCATGCTAATGGTATAATTTCAACCAGGCCCTGTTCCCCATGGGTTCAACTGGACCACACTACTGGTAAGATTCTAACCAGTCCTCCATTACCTACAGGTACAGCTGAACCATGATGGTGGTAATATTTCAACCAAACTTGTGTTGCCTATGGGTTTAATTGGACATCATTGATGGTTCTAGACTCGTTCTTTGATGGACCAGCTGGACAATGGCAAAAACACGAATCCAACAGAGCCCTTCCTCACTGAGTCCAACTGGACCATACTGGTTGTATACAATATAAACTGAGCCCAGTTTCCTACAGTCTCAGCTGGATCAAGCTGTCAGAATGATTGCAACTGGGCCTCCCAAGCCCATAGCAGCATAGCTGCTATGGGCCTAGAATGAATCTACAGCATAAATGACATATGTATTTTTGAGAGGTGCTCATTATATGAAAACTTTTCTTGAATGTATACTGATACAGATATTAGCATAAGATACAAAAAAAAATTTATAAGCGTCTGCATCAATCCTACAACAACTAAGTTGCAGAATTTTTATTTATATTTTAGATATACTAAACAGAAAATTCAGTGTGAATTTTGACAAAATATATCTGTAATTTTTTAGTATGAGTTTTTACAAAATATTCCTTAATTTGCATCTCACTACTCATGGGTTTCCATATTATGTTAATTACTTTAAGTAAAATTAAAAGCCCCTAAAAATTATTCACTAGATACTATAGAAATGAGTCAGAATACTGTGGCAGGAAAAATTTAAAATAAACTCACAGTTTGGAGTGGAAATTTAAGATGACATTCCAGTCTGTCATTATCAAGTCATGACCGAAAGAGAAGGTAAAAAAAAAAAAGAGATAAGGTCAGACAAAGAGGTGATTACCAAGACATCTAAAGTTTTCTCTCTAAATTGTGTGTTAGCCATGAAGCTATTTCAGACTTACGATGATGAAGATAATTTGGTCTTCTTAAGCTTAGAGCGATCACTGCTTGACGGAAGTCTTTTACTAAGCCGAGATTTTCTTTTTCCATCCCGTTTGTATCCTGAGCGATGAGGTGAGGACTCTGAAGAAGACGAACTTGACGAAGAGGATGTCGAGGATGATGTTGAGGAGGACGAGCTACTACTTGATGATGAAGGATTTCTCCGATGTCCATGTTGACCATGCAGCTGCAATAGTACCAGTCGAGTCAAAAAATTTTAAGCAAACAGACTAAGTAGTAAGGATTGCCTTTAACTATGAAAAACTTGATGCTCAATATAAAAAAAAATCATAATTGCAAGAACCCATGAACTGGGTAACACAGCAGTAACAAAACTTTGGTATTTGTAGTGCTATGTTACCAAGAAAGCAGAGAATACCAAATCCACAAATACAACTAGTGGTCACTGTTTTACCAGGATAATGGAAGTGCCTTAGACAAATGAGTGGTGCTTTTTGGTGAACTGTGAAGGCCTGAACCCTGATTAAATTCTACAGATATTTTAAGCAAATGCTTGTACTATGGTATGTCTTGGCTAGCCAATGCTGAATCTTAAGTCTGCCTGAATGCACTGCATAACTATGGGCTTTGCCATCTACATAAAAATGTGAAAAGTAAAACTATGTAAAGTCACAGAACTTTACTTTTCTTTGGTAAGAGAAGGTGGAGCTTAAAAGGGGAAGAGAAAGAAGAATCATAGTTTATCAACTTTGCTTTTTTTTTACACACTGGCCGTCTCCCACCAAGGCAGGGTGACCCGAAAAAGAAATGAAAGATTTTCTTCTTTTTACATTTAGTAATTTATACATTAGAAGGATATTACTAGCCCTATACTCCTGGCATTTTAAAGTAGCCTCTTACAACACGCATTGCTTATGGAGAAACGATTCTTCTCCACCTATTTCTTCCAGAACACAATACTGTATCACCTTTTTGTCAACAGATGATATATGATGATGAGAATCCCCAGCCATTTCCCTCATCAGTTCTTGGGTTAACTGCTGGCGGCGGCGTTCGAGAGCCACTTCGCTTTCCTCCTCTAGTCTTCGTAAATCCCAAGTCTCGGCTCCTTTCCTACTTCTGTTGCTGCCTGTGCTGTGCTGGGTTACCGTATTACCTGTGTTGAGATGAGGAAATGCACCTGTGCTTTTCCCACTATTAATTCTTGAACAAGAGCCTGAAATGAGAATGAACAAAATGCTTAATCCTTTTTATCAGAAAGACATGGTGAACAGTATTATTATAATATTCACTGAAAGAACTAAAGTCATATGGGTCATTCAATGCTTCTACATAGCAAGAGTGAAAAAAAGATAGAAGAAGAGAGGCAAAGATGATGAGATGGCAAAAGCAGAAAGAGGCAAGAAAAGTCAAAATTTAATATAACAAACCATAGTCAGTTAAAGAAAGTTAGACAGAATTTGTATCTAAGATGAGACTGTCAGAGAGAAGGGCAGCCAGAGTAAGCATGTCAAGGCAATACAGAATGCATCTGAATTGAAGATGGTTTGCTCTGATGACTGAAACAATTGATCAAAAGATAATGAACTGTCAAACCATGGAACAGATGGAGTTTGAACCCATGGCAAGCGAATCCTAAAACACACAGGCCAGTGCTGTTAACCTCTCGACCATTCCATGACTTGATTGCAATCATGTTATTGTGATTTTGCGAGTCATGATGAATTGTCAAATGACCTGACAATTCTCACAGAGTGACACTGAATGACTCACGAAACCGTAATGACATGATTGCAAACAAACCATACCACGGGTGGGGTTAGAACCCGTGATCAGAGTCTCAAAACTCAAGACCATCACGTTAGCGAGCGTTGTGGCTAGCTGGCCCAGTGGCTAACGTGACGGTCTGGAGTTTTGAGACTCTCTGATCGCAGGTTCTAACCCTGCCCGTGGTATGGTTTGTTTGGTATTGAATGTCAGAGCGAACACTAAAATTTGTTAACATGTACAGTTAGGGATTTGCATAGGGTTGTATATATATATACATACAGGTCCACATCCCCTTATCCAAAACCCTTGGGGATAAAACAGTTTTGAATTTCAGAATTTTTCGAAGTTCAGAATGATTCTCAACACCGCCACATGGCAGTGTGACCCAGCACTGAGATGACTGACACTCAACACTCCATGAAAAACCTTCGGTTTTCAGAACATTTCCAATTTCAGAATTTTGGATAAAAGGTTGTGGACCTGTAACTGTATTGTCTGAAGCTGGAACTTCATAAAGAGTAATTCTGATGGTTGAATATTGTTGTGTAATAATTGGTGCAAGATATTTTTCCCCTTTTTTTTAAATATTTCTGACTGAATGTAATGCCAATGCCAATAATATTGTATGTACAGTTGACTGTCAATTAGGATGGCAGTTACATTTTTGAAAGTGACATTTAATAAAAAATCATCTACTGTATACTTAAGACCATAATGTACACACACATATTAATGATATACTGCAATAACCACTGAAAATAAAAGATCAAAAAGACAAATTTGGCCAGTGAATTATGGCTACTGTTTCAGAAATCCTTTATAACAAGATTTGCTACATCAAGATCTATTATACAGTGGACCATTATATCAATGATATACTGTATTGCATTATCATTTTCTCATTTTTTATATATATATATATATATATATATATATATATATAAATATATATATATATATATATATATATATATATATATATATATATATATATACAGTGGACCCCCGGTTAACGAACTTTTTTCATTCCCGTAGTATGTTTAGGTGCCATACTGACCGAATTTTTTCCCATAAGGAATATTGTGAAGTAGATTAAATCCATTTCAGACCCCCAAAAAATACACGTCAAACGCACTTACATAAATACACTTACATAATTTGGGCGCATTGGAGGTGATCGTTAAGCGGGGGTCCACTGTATATATTTTTTTTTTTTTTTTTTTTTTCAACAAGGTTGCCATCTCCCACCGAGGCATGGTGACCCAAAAAAGAAAGAAAATCCCCAAAAAGAAAATACTTTCATCATCATTCAACACTTTCACCTCACTCACACATAATCACTGTTTTTGCAGAGGTGCTCAGAACACAACAGTTTAGAAGCATATATGTATAAAGATACACAACATATCCCTCCAAACTGCCAATATCCCAAACCCCTCCTTTAAAGTGCAGGCACTGTACTTCCCATTTCCAGGACTCAAGTCCGACTATATGAAAATAACCGGTTTCCCTGAATCCCTTCACTAAATATTACCCTGCTCACACTCCAACAGATTGTCAGGTCCCAAGTGCCATTCGTCTCCATTCACTCCTCTCTAATATATATATATATATATATATATATATATATATATATATATATATATATATATATATATATATATATATATATATATACATATATATATATACAGTGGACCCCCGCATAACGATCACCTCCGAATGCGACCAATTGTGTAAGTGTATTTATGTAAGTGCGTTTGTACGTGTATGTTTGGGGGTCTGAAATGGACTAATCTACTTCACAATATTCCTTATGGGAACAAATTCGGTCAGTACTGGCACCTGAACATACTTCTGGAGTGAAAAAATATCGTTAACCGGGGGTCCACTGTATATATATATATATACAGTGGACCCCCGGTTAACGATTTTAATCCGTGCAAGAGGGGTAATTGTTATGCGAAATAATCGTTATGTGAATGAATTTTCCCCATAAGAAATAATGGAAATAAAATTAATCCGTGCAAGACACCCAAAAGTATGAAAAAAAAAATTTTACCACATGAAATATACATTTTCCCACACACAAAGAGAAGGATACATGCACAATAGTAGAGTAGTACATGCACAGTATATATTGTGCATGTACTAGTCTACTAAATGAAGAATAAATGACACTTACCTTTATTGAAGATGCAGCAATGACTGATGAGACACTGTGTCCTGGGAGTGCCTTTTCCTCCTGAGTACTGTAGGTCCTGTTTGGCATTTTCTTCCAGAACAGGCCTTATCACACTGTGTATGCCACTACGATTCTTAAATCTCTCAAACCAACCTTTGCTGGCTTTAAATTCACCAATATGAGCACTAGTTCCAGGCATTTTTCCCTGTTCACCTGGGTGGTAGTCGACTTGTGTGGGTTGCATCCTGGGAGACAAGATTAAGGACCCCAATGGAAATAAGTTAGACAGTCTTCGATGACACTGACTTTTTTGGGTTATCCTGGGTGGCAAATCCTCTGGGGTTAATTGTTTCTTGGTATTCTCAATAAGCCACACCAACAACGGTGCTATAGCAGCAGCAGCAGCTGACAGTGCAGCAGCAGCTGACAGTGCAGCAGCAGCAGCAGCTGACAGTGCAGCAGCAGCAGCAGCTGTACCACCAATAGTAGCGATGGTTGACTGGGGTTTATTATACAACCTGGCCAGCTCGGAGACATGCACTCCACTTTCATACTTATCAATGATCTTTTTCTTCATCTCTATTGTAATTCTCAAACTTATTGCTGTAGGGTTGGCACTAGAAGCTTTCTTGGGGCCCATGGTCACTTATTTTCCAGAAAAAGCACCGAAAACACTGTAATAATACAAAATATTCCGATTGTATGCTTGGATGTTACCGCGGAGGCTGGCTGGTAAACAATGCCACCGGCGGAACATGTGAGCGTGGCTCAGGCCGCACATTGGACGCGTCTCGGACGAAAATCGGTAAGCGGGTTTTTAAGCGGTATGCGAGGCAAAATTTTTGCAATTAAAGTAAGCGGTATGCGAAATAATCGCTATGTGATGCCATCGTTATGCGGGGGTCCACTGTATATATATATATATATATATACAGTGGACCCCCGGTTAACGATATTTTTTCACTCCAGAAGTATGTTCAGGTGCCAGTACTGACCAAATTTGTTCCCATAAGAAATATTGTGAAGTAGATTAGTCCATTTCAGACCCCCAAACATACACGTACAAACGCACTTACATAAATACACTTACATAATTGGTCACATTCGGAGGTGATCGTTATGCGGGGGTCCACTGTATATATATATATATATATATATATATATATATATATATATATATATATATATTATATATATATAAAATATATATATATATATATATATATATATATATACATACATACATATATATATATACACACCTACCATCCGACTTACGGCCGAGTTCGGTTCCGAGAAACCGGTCGTAAGTCGAAATGGTCGTAAGTCGAACTTTACTACTGAATATCAACAAAACATTTTTGTAAAGACTTTATTTTATTGTTTTATTTTGGTATTTCATGTTTTACTTTACTTTTTATGTTGTTAGTACTGTATTTTATACTGTAAGGTTTAGGATAAACACTGTGTACAACACAAATAGTTGTTTATTTCCCAGAAATTTGGCATAAAAAACACGGTCGTAAGTCGAGTGGTCGTAAGTCGAGCAGGTCGTAAGTCGGATGGTAGGTGTATATATATATATTATTATTAACACACTGGGCGATTCCCACCAAGGCAGGGTGGCCCGAAAAAAAAAAAACTTTCACCATCATTCACTCCATCACTGTCTTGCCAGAATGGTGCTTTACACTACAGTTTTTAAACTGCAACATTAACACCCCTCCTTCAGAGTGCAGGCACTGTACTTCCCACCTCCAGGACTCAAGTCCGGCCTGCCGGTTTCCCTGAATCCCTTCATAAATGTTACTTTGCTCACACTCCAACAGCATGTCAAGTATTAAAAACCATTTGTCTCCATTCACTCCTATCAAACACGCTCACGCATGCCTGCTGGAAGTCCAAGCCCCTCGCACACAAAACCTCCTTTACCCCCTCCCTCCAACCCTTCCTAGGCCAACCCCTAACCCCGCCTTCCTTCCACTACAGACTGATACACTCTTGAAGTCATTCTGTTTCGCTCCATTCTCTCTACATGTCCGAACCACCTCAACAACCCTTCCTCAACCCTCTGGACAAGTTTTGGTAATCCCACACCTCCTCCTAACTTCCAAACTACAAATTCTCTGCATTATATTCACACCATACATTGCCCTCAGACATGACATCTCCACTGCCTCCAGCCTTCTCCTTGCTGCAACATTCATCACCCATGCTTCACACCCATATAAGAGCGTTGGTAAAACTATACTCTCATACATTCCCCTCTTTGCCTCCAAGGACAAAGTTTTTTGTCTCCACAGACTCCTATATATACGTATATAATATAATATAAATACGTATATATAAATAATAAAAAAAAGATAATAAATAAAGAGTAAAATTACCTCTTTGACTATAGGTCTCCTTCCCTCCTTCCTTGGCTGCTCGTGACGTCTCGGACTGCCTCACCTTAGGGAATACAAATAAACAGCAAAACTGAAAGTACAGAAATTAACAGTAAGCTAAATAAAGCTAAAAAAATATTCACTCATTCTAGTATAAATTTCTGATACCTTGACCTGTGTCAAAATACATCTTAAGTGAGATGATCATCTTGCAAAGACTTTCATCCTGTCACTGAGAGGATCATCTCATGAAGAATCTCATCCATTTACTAAGAGGATCATCTCACAAAGACATCCCTTCACTAAGAGGAACACCTCATGAAGAATTTCATCCAGACAGTTTGCAAGACTTCAAGTATAAGCTGGCTGGCACTGGCATACTGCCAACAACAGTGAAGGAAAAACAAGCATTGCAAAATGTACAGTGGAACCTCTATTTTCGTTTGCCCTGGTTTTCGTCGAATTCGGTTTTCAACAACTTTTTCGTCAAAATTTTATCCCAGTTCTCACTCATCACCTCAGTTTTCGTCAAGTTGACAGTGGTCCGCCATACCGAACATGTCTGCCCACACCCACACAAAGCAGCCCATGCATTCTGAGTCAGTCTGGCTTTGTTTCTCATCGGTAAAGGGTGGTAATAATGGTGGTAGAGGGTGGTAGTGGTTGTGATGGTGGTAGTGATTGTGGTAGAGGGTGGTAGTGATTGTGGTAGAGGGTGGTAGTGATGGTGGTAGAGGGTGGTAGTGGTTGTTGTAGAGGGTGGTAGTGATAGTGGTAGAGGGTGGTAGTGATGGTGGTAGAGGGGTAGTGGTTGTGATGGTGGTAGAGGGTGGTAGTGGTTGTGATGGTGGTAGAGGGTGGTAGTGGTTGTGATAGTGGTAGAAGGTGGCAGTGGTTGTGATGGTGGTAGAGGGTGATAGTGGTTGTGATGGTGGTAGAGGGTGGTAGTTATTGTGGAAGAGGGTGGTAGTGGTTGTGATTGTGGCAGAGGGTGGTAGTGATGGTGGTAGAGATAACCTCTCCTCCCTCTCCCTTCCTCGCCGTCTTCCATATACCAACAAGAGTCTTCAGTGAAGGTAAAAGAAATGTTAAATGGTCATTTATCCATTTCATTAGTCCTTTATATTTATTTCTCATTGTTTTCTGTATGTAAAACTATAGTTATTCTCTATAAAATGTATTTTTTGCTAATACTTTTGGGTGTTTGGAATGGATTAATTGGATTTACATTATTTCTAATGGGAAATATTGCGTCAGTTTTCGTCGGATTTGGTTTTCGTCAGACTTTCTGGAACAAATTAGTGATGAAAACCGAGGTTCCACAGTATACTTGATAAAAGCTCTACACAGAGTGAAATGTTGCTTGTGCTGGTAAAAAGAAACATACTGCAAAAGGAGACCTTTATCAGTAAAAAGTTCCACCTACATGAGGCACATGACTAAACCTTCGATATAATGAATTACTGATAGGGAAAATTTTCTGAGTACCCATTAAATCAAAATGTCAATAAAAAAAAAAGCTTAAGTACTCCAACAGTAGTGTACACACAATTAACAGTGTTTTCTTTTTTTAATACAGCAGTCGTTTCCCACCGAGGCAGGGTGACCCGAAAAAGAAGCAGCACTTTCATCATCACTCCATCACTGTCTTGCCAGAAGTGCGCCGATACTACAGTTCAAAAACTGCAACATATCTCCACCTCTCCTTCAGAGTGCAGATATACTACAACAAACACTAAAAGTTAAGAGTTTAACATACAGTTTACCCACCAGCTTCTGCCCATTATTTAAAGTCAAGTCATATATATAGAGGACATGCTGTACACCTTTTGCTGTATGTCCCTCTTTACAACCTGTCAGTAAAAAGTGATAAAAAACTATATGTCAACTGCTTGTTTTGCTGTGTGTATTCTTTGAGTGTTATTGAAAGAGCAACTGAAGAATTAGGTAAGGCATTCTGCAGGCTCATCTGGATATATATCTATATATAAATATAGTATAATATATACAGTACACGTATATCTATAACAAAAATAAAGCAGATTACAACTTACTGATACAAAGGATCACAGGCATAAGTGAAGATTGCCATAATATGTATACATATGTCAAAAAGTAGGTGAGACTAAGATGACGAGACAGGAAAAAGCATGTAAGAAAATTGCAGGACAAAAAAGATAATATTAATATTGACTTAAAAGAGAATGGCAAAGGTGCAGAAAATAAAGCAAGCCATTTATGTGGTAATGCAGTGTGGGTGCAGGGAAATATTTTCATGGGGAAGCACTAAACCTGTAAGGATCATACAACACCTGGAGAATGGGAGGTAATCAGGTTTAATCAAGGGAAGGGTAGCTCCAATTCTATGGATCAACAGCCCTTCAGCAGCATCAAGGTGGTTCCCTTTGAAAGGGTGCAAAAAGGGCATGAGAAAGGGTACTTCTCTCCTACTCATCCAGAAGTGTAAGAGGTCAACAGACAATCATCTATGTCAGCATTCTTCAAACTTCTTTCCTGCAACTCAGTACAATATCACACCCTCATGACCCTACCCCAGTGTTTAGTCTAATAAAAAAAAAAATCTGATAAGGAATCTAAAACACAATAACACACAAGCTAATTTAAAGTTTTTGACTCATTAGGATAAAGTCATATTGTATTAGTTTAAGTAGATTCATTCGATTCATTTTACAAGTACAAAAAGTAATACTGACAAATCAGCGTAAAACTGACTTGTACATCGTGACTGGACGTGCATGTTGCTTGCAACTCAATGAAAATCATCTCAAGACCCGGAACCCTATTTAACCCTTAAACGGTCCAAACAGATCGACGTTCAAATTCGTAGTGCTACAAAAGTAGATCTACTTTTTTTTACATATTTTCAAATATAACAAAAAAAAAATGTAGATAAAAGTTTTTTTACACGTTTTCACATGTAAAACGAAAAAAAAGATCTACATTTTTTTACATACTTTCAGATGTTGAAAAAACATATATGTTTGGACCATTTAAGGGTTAAGGTGGTCCTAATTTATTATGACCAGTCTCCCCTGGTCATTTTCCATTATGATTTACACGAGGCCTTCCCTGATGTCTCTCTGCATTAACTTTTCCTTCCAGAATGCTAACTACACTCCCATTAGTCTCTTATACTCTACTTCCCTCTTAGAAATTATCCATGAACTCTATAGTCATTATGCACTCTACATATCCAAGTTACCAAACCACCTACCATTAAGTTTATTTAGGCACAAGTACACATAAGTACAGTTACTAAATAGTGTAAATTACCTCCCATACTCATATACTGTTCAGTCTTTATCTATGACACAACTGTTTTTATTTAATTCAACAGCCTGAAATTCCATAGCTCAGGGTCAGGAAAATGCATTCTTAGTCATAATTTCCTTTAATAATCCTTTCCAGAGATCATCTTTCTCCATAATATTTCTCTTTACACTGTCATAGTGATCATATTTTCTCCATTATATTTCTCTTTACACTATTACATTTTCTCAAAAGTGATATCAAAAACTAAAACTCTCAGTTCCATTATTTTTTGAAAGATGTCTTCTTGTTCTTACCAATATCTTCTATAGAATACACTTGCTATCACGTCTAAATCAGGAAAAATATCAATTATCAAAGCCCCTGTCATTGCAAGCAGCCTCACCTTACCTCCTGTGATGAATGGCTTTGCCTCATCCCTCGCTGATCCATTCATACATAAATACCAAACACTGCAACAACATTAAAATTTATGTTACTCACACACATACCATATACAGTGGACCCCCGCATAACGATCACCTCCGAATGCGACCAATTATGTAAGTGTATTTATGTAAGTGCGTTTGTACGTGTATGTTTGGGGGTCTGAAATGGACTAATCTACTTAACAATATTCCTTATGGGAACAAATTCGGTCATTACTGGCACCTGAACATACTTCTGAAGTGAAAAAATATCGTTAACCGGGGGTCCACTGTATTCTGGCATATAAGGAGCACAAGAGACATATAATGATCAATCATTAATCATATTCAAGCGCTAATTACCCTTGACCTCTGACCCTGAGCATATAAGGTGCAAGATGATTTTTTTTTTTTAGGCTTTTAGTGGGAAAAAAGGTGCCCCTTATGTGCCAGATAATACGTTACTTCAAAACTTTTACTTTCACAAATGTGTTATTTTCAGAATAACTGTCCTTTCTGCACCTAACAACTCTGCCCCAGTTCTTCAGTAGGCTTTATAATGCAGTGATGTGTATTTCACAAACAACCCACAATTTAGAGAGGAGTGTTGGTCCATCCTGGAGTTGTGGAGTTACAGAATGATAATAGCCTAGGTCAGCCCAAAACATCATCTAAAACTCTCCTTTTATATTGTGGGATTGTGAACTGTTCCAGCTACAGTAGTGACTGTGAATTGTTCCAGCCACAGTATTGACTAAATTGTTCCAGCCACAGTACTGACTGAACTGTTCCAGCCAGAGTATTGACTGAACTGTTCCAGCCACAGTATTGACTGTGAATAGTTCCTGCCACAGTACTGACTGAATTGTTTCAGCAGCCACAGTATTGAGTGAATTGTTCCAACTACAGTATTGACTGAATTGTTCCAGCCACAGTACTGACTTCCATTCCTGAGCAGTGTCTAATTTAAAACTTTCACTGGCTCACAATACACACATGACGAGTTTAACAAACTTGCTCACAATATGTCTTATTTTAATAAATGACATCAAGACTGTTGTTTTTAGTGTGAACACAAATTTACAGCTTCATGAGCTTCATTACTTGAAATTCTGCTTTCCTACTCAAGGATAACAACAGTAATATCAGGCATTTTTATAGTTAATAATATCTGGGAACTTTATATTACTTAAATAAGCACAGAAAACGTGTGTGTTTTGAAGAATAAAAGATGTTTTCTTGTATCAGGGTCCCAGTTGGAATACTGTACACCTACACCTAGTTCCACCTCATCCTCTCCTACCTACACTGTATGATCTGGCAGGTCTTGTTGTGTTGAGAACCTTGACACAAAAAGTATCTTCAT